AGTACTCCAGTTACTTATTTCCTAAAGTATTTTCGTGCCAAATTTCGTGAAATTCTAATGAGTGGTTCTCGAGAAATAGGCGTATTTCCGAGAGTGTAATTTTTCATTCAATCGCACTTTTTTGACCTATTACGCATGCGCTGCATTTAACTGGGTTCTTTCGGTAACAACTAAATTTTCTATAAATAAACAAAACCGATTTTAAAGGCCTGTTTATATTTATTCATGGCAACGGCACATACATCAGCTTAACCATCAAAAAACCAAAGTTTGTGATGTTAACTTGCTTGCTGCCATTTTTGGTGAGCGAAGGATCAAGGGTTTTAGAGAAAAAGGTGAATGAACATAGGTATCAAAAACTGTGTTCAGCCACCTTAATTTCGTTTGTCATTTTTGTGCGGTGCGTTAGCTGCCTACAGCTTTTTTGATTGTGGCCTGGGACCGCGCGTTTGCAGTTGTTCGCGAACACCTTGTGCGCAAAGGAGGTCTGGGCTCTACCGGTGCAAGGAGTGCTCTGACATTTTCTTTCGAAAACCATCCACAAAATCCAAAGTAATCGGCAAAAGAGTGAGGGATCCCTCTCTCCATACGTCAGCGAACATGACGGCAATGCCTCTTAAAGCTCGTCCGCAGGGTATTACCTTCGATGAATACGGAAGACCGTTTATAATCCTAAAAGAACAAGACAAGCAAAGAAGGTTGACAGGCCTGGATGCACAGAAGGTAAATTTTGGATCATCGTTTGATTTCAGTATGGATCATCATTTTGATCGATTGGTGTAATTTCTCCACAGTCTCATATTTTAGCAGCTAAAGCTGTGGCTAATATTCTTCGGACCTCTCTTGGGCCTAAAGGTAAGCTTAAGTTCGATCGAGCAAATGTACTTGTCAAAATGGACGAAATGTGCTTTGTTTCCTCCTCAACTGAAGGGGAGTAGCCACCTTAAAAATGTATCCTAACTGTGCTGTACAAAAATTAATTGCGCAGGCATTCTTTCCAGATCTTTCCAGCTTGTATTAGTGTTATTTTCATCGTCTTGCAATGATTCGAGCTGATGCAAAGCTTTATAATAAGCTTACATACATGTCCACATGTACACAAAACATGTACACAAAACGGTGCAGATCTTTTGTTAACAAAATATCTACAACGTTGAAGCCTTCCTGTGGTAATAATACATCTGCTGCTTCTTCAGATCAATACGCAAGTCACGTGCTTTAAAACAGGAGATGTCTTACCTCGAGTGGATACCTGCAAACTCTCACGCACTATGCGTGAGTCTCACGCCTGCGGATCTAAAATTGTGATCTCACGCATTCAGACCAATTTCTCACGCCTAACTGACAATAGTGAGTGTAATTGCTTAAAAACTGATTAAATAAAAATTCAATTTTTTTTTTCGGCAAAAAACAGTTGGTGAGTCCAGCAAAAAAGCATCTTCAAGCTTACTCTGTTACGCGTATTGAGTTCGCGACACCAACTCATGTTTAGATTGTGTTACGTGACACGTTTCGGAAGTCGTTGGGAAATCTTTGGCAATCTTCGGAAGTCGTTGGGAAATCTTCGGCAATCTTCGGATTTTGTCGGAAATCTTTGGAGATCTTTGGAAGTCTTTGGAAATCTTCGGCAATCTTCAGAAGCCGTCGGTAAATCTTCGGAAATTGAGGTTCTGGAGATGAAAAATCTCATGCATTTTACTGAAAAAAAGTTGGCAGGTTTACGAGTGACCAACACTCCTACTGTGTAACACATGTAGTGTACATTTTAGCGAGTCGGCATTCATATGTGTATATGACTGACATATTTGCAAGTGTCATAATTTGTCCTTAACAAATACTCCGTTATTTATAATCTCTACGAGAAATTTCATTCAGAGCAAAATGTAATAACTTGTTAACCTGTTGCCTGTTTTACATGATCATGACACAAGTGCTGTAATAACTTTCATCAACTTTATAAAACTCCACATGTACTCATATTTTCAAAAATTGGCCAAAACATAGTTTCTTTAAAAATTAGATCAAATGAAGTTTTTGAAGATTTAGTAATGACCAATAATTTGTTACAGTGTTCAGTACGTTTTTTTGTGACACATTTTATAACTCTTAGGCATGGACAAGATGATGGTTAGTCCAGATGGTGATGTAACAGTCACTAATGATGGTGCGACCATTTTGGACATGATGCAAGTTGAACATCAAATCGCTAAGCTGATGGTCGACTTATCAAAGTCACAGGATGACGAGATCGGTGATGGAACAACTGGAGTTGTAGGTGAGGATAAAATTAGTCTGTTCTAATCCCAGAGAACCAGGGTAGATTGTGTGTACTAAAGGCATCCACGGTTGAGTGTTGATTGTCGCCCTCGATTGACCCTTGATTGACACTTGATCAATACTCAATTGACAACTCGTTTGACACTAGTTTGGGACAGTTGGTTGAGAGTTGACTAATTTTTGCAGACATACCATCAAGTGTCAGTCGATACATATGAGTCGGTCAACACTTGGCCGACTATCAACAGACTGCCAATTGAGTGTCGATTAGGTATTGATTGAGATGTCCATTGAGTGTGGGTCGAGATGTCAATCGAGTGTTGATCGAGGGTCAATTGAGGGATGTGACTGCGGATGGTCACGGGCTACGGATATTTAATGTGTAACTCATATTCTGTAGCACAGAATGACAAGGAAATTTTAACTCCCCTGAATTGCATGCTATTCTTTCACAGCTCACCTCTAAAATTTTGTCACTTTGCCCTAAAAATATACATGTATCATAACTCAATTTTATTTTGAGTGCTACGTTGTACCTCTATGAATCCTGTATCCTTATTGGTTGTGCAAGCAGGCAAGACAAGGCTCTCATGCCTACTCCAGATTGCCTACTGTAGTTGTGTCCAAAGGGAGAATAGTGTGCTTTAAATACTACACGAATAAATCCTGTATTGGCCAAGTGGAGGTGGCCTGGCCAAGTGGTTTAGGGTGCTGGATATGAAATCTGGAGGTTCAAATCCCCCAACCTGCCACTATTTGTATTAATTGTTCTGTCTAACCTCAAGTTCAACTCCTTCGCCATTTTGTATTAATTAATAGCCAACTGGTCAACCTCCCACCAGTGGAGATTCTTAATAATTTCTACTCTATTTGCACAATTTGAGTGTCCTCAATTAGTACAAGAGTGCTAAATACACTTAAAGCTTAAATGAAGTTATTTATTTCGTTTGGTCATGATGAATGACACTTCCCATGATGTGCATGAGTGTAAATTTTCTCTGAACACCACAGAAAACAACAAAAGAGAGAGAAAAATAATGTTGGCTTTGTTGTGATTTAATGGTCTTCCATTTCTTCAGTTCTTGCTGGAGCTCTTCTGGAACAAGCTGAACAGCTGTTGGACTGGGGTATCCATCCAATAAGAATTGCCGATGGTTATGAACTAGCTGCCAGAATAGCCAATGAGCAGCTTGATAAGATATGTGATAGCTTTCCCATCGATAGAAACAACCCAGAATCCCTCATTCAGACTGCCATGACGACGCTTGGATCAAAAATGTAAGTACATGAACCATTAGCTGTCCATAACCATAAATTTAAGAATGTTAAACAAAGCCAAAATTGTAGGAATTCATGTTCAAGAGTGTTACAAAAACATTGTAAAACTGTCCATAAATCAATTTTGTTGATATTGTATGTGGGTGGATCAAGGGGTTGCCAGTTGACCAGCTACGTACATGTACATACCATGTAACAGTCTATAGAAACCATGATGTCATTGCTAAATATTATTGTTAATTTACAACCAAAGATGATGAATTATAAATTTAGGCAAAATAGCATGAACCGACTTTACCTCGAAATTTCTCCGCTTGCATGTCTAGTGGTATGCTGAATGTCTCTGCGGCTAAAAATTTATACATATATATACATGTATGTATTTTCATTTCAGTGTCAGCAGATGTCACAGAAAGCTGGCAGAGATTGCAGTAGAAGCTGTGCTATCTGTAGCAGACTTAGACAGAAAAGATGTTGACTTTGAATTAATCAAGATGGAAGGAAAGGAAGGTGGAAAACTGGATGATACGATGTTGGTAAAAGGAGTTGTTGTGGACAAGGATATGAGCCATCCTCAAATGCCAAAGGTGTGTGCTATTGTTGAGTTGTAAAGCATTTCAACTCTAAAAGAGTTCTATATTTTGACCCAGGTAGAGCCGTTTATTTGATTTAACAATTAATCTGTGAACCCCAAAGTTAAACAAAATTAAACACAATAGGTCAATCACGGTTTTTGATGCCATCTATTTGGGTAGGCAAAGCAGTCAGAAATTACAGTGTTTGCTTGGGAATCGGATGGTAAATAACTTTTTTTCAATATTGAAAATTTTTGCACAACTTAGGAATGGCTACTTAATCATGTACTAGACGGCAGATTGTATTCACCAAATTTGAACCTGACATAGCTGGGCTAGAAGACGCTCAGTTACTGTTAATTTTTATTTCCCTTGTAACATTTGCCTATAATTTTTTTTTCCTGTGAACTCCATCTACCCAGCAAAATCAGCTTATCCTCTTGTTTCTGTGACAAACAGGTCATTAAAGATGCCAAACTTGCTATCTTAACTTGCCCATTTGAGCCACCTAAGCCAAAAACTAAGCATAAGTTGGATGTTGCTTCTGTGGAAGACTATCAAAAGCTGCGAGAGTATGAGAAGGAGAAGTTTGAACAAATGGTAAAACAAGTGAAGGACACTGGTGCTAATTTGGCAATCTGCCAGTGGGGATTTGATGATGAGGCCAACCATCTTCTGTTACAAAATGAGCTTCCAGCAGTTAGATGGGTCGGCGGACCAGAAATTGAGGTATATTGTGTATTACAGCAATCTGCAGTAATGGAAACAAATGTATTTTGCACTGTTTATGATTTTGAGTAAAGGACAAAGAAATAAGGAGCACACTGTCAAAATGGATCCAAATGCACCAATTGTAACCCAGGGATGTGACCTTTAGAACATTCTTCATTTCCTGAAATTTCATCTACTTAGGTAACTGATACCACTTACATGTATATGATGCGGAAGATAATCGTTTGTTTATTTTAGTTTTAGCTTTAGAGTGGTATCTTAATGCCAAAAATGTGCCAAAAATCACACCTGTCTTTAATGCTCATCACAATCAGAATAACCAGCTGATTTCATTACAAATAATCTTTATATGGCTTTTATTTGTAGCCAATGTAATACACGTTCTGATTGGCCAATTCCAGTGCATTATTCTCCTGCAATGTCCATGGGCTGATTCTGGGCCTGAAAAAGCAAAGCAAAAAGCCATAATAATCAAACATTCAGTCTGTATGGGAAAATCTCCAACCTCAGCCTTGCTGTATTGACCTATTTCTCGGTCAATACAGCAAGGTCTTGGTTTGAGATTTTCCAGTAAAGACCTTACTCTCGGTCAATAAGTAGTTAATCATGACCATGTACTGTTGAATGCAAACTCATGCAAGATACTCTGTCTTCAGCTTATTGCTATTGCCACTGGTGGAAGAATTGTGCCGAGGTTTTCAGAGCTGACAGCAGAGAAGCTCGGTAAAGCTGGCCTGGTAAAGGAAGTCAGCTTTGGAACTACGAAGGACAGGATGTTGGTTATTGAAGAGTGTTTGAACTCACGAGCTGTTACAATCTTTATCCGAGGAGGAAACAAAATGGTAAGGGTCAATCAGTGTAATGGTCAAAATGATCTTGTTTTGCCTTTGCACACAGTCTTTTCTCTAACACATGGAGAGGAAAAGGTTTTATTGAGTGAATGTCAGACCTAAGTGTCACAGATACATGTTAGATGTAGATGTTGGTCGTAATAAATAAAGGCGTGATGGCATACCCAATAAATGCCCCCTCTGGATAAGAGCCATGATGCTGAATGGGCCACCCTGGTTAAAAAAAGTTTTACTTACTTACTTACTTACTTACTTACTAAAATGAAGGCCAAACCTAGGGGAAAAAATACGGGTAATGTTTTGCACGTCAGTTTTGAATATCATTCGGGGAACAAAATCTCAAAACTGAATACATATTAACAGTGTAGGGCTAGATGTGAGTCTACATGTACATGTAGGCATAGACCTTTCTGTGTACATTCCATGCTTAACAATAAACATGTACATGTATAGTTAAAGATTCGCGGTTAATGCATTCATTTAAAGCCCATCAAAGGACTACATGTAGTATGTTTTGCTTATTTCCATACAATATGTTTAGATGACCCCTAGATCACATTATGCCAAGTAATGTAAATTTATACAATTTGAAACCCATTACATTATAGAATTCAGGCTGTCATGTTTTTGTTCCATTTTTTTTTAAACAGATTATAGAAGAGGCTAAAAGGAGCATACACGATGCGCTGTGTGTTGTAAGGAATCTTGTTCGTGATAATCGTGTGGTGTATGGTGGAGGAGCAACAGAACTGGCATGCTCATTAGCAGTCACAAAAGAAGCAGACAAGGTAAGGGTCATCTGGTGTAGTTTGAAAGGAATGCTGAAAGTTTGATGATAATTAGTGGTCCCAGATATCGATGACAATGAGCTTAATAGGAGCCCAAAATTGGTGGGGTCCAAATCCAGGAGCACTTTCCATTCATTCAGAAATTCTGGAACTTTCAAAATGGGGGGAATGGTTATGTTGTGGAAATTTCCTTGGGAAGTGTACAGAAAATCTGAAACTATTAAAGTGAAAATTCTGGAAATTTCTGGAATTCCGGGAGAGAAATCAAATAAAACAGAAATTCCAGGTAAGACATTTTTAAAAATTTGGATGTACCTGGCAAGGCTGACCCCTTTTCCAAACATTCTGGAAAATATCCAAGGTTCACATCCACTTGTAGTTGTAGTATTTGATTACCAGTAGTACTTGGACGTGAACCTGGGGCTCTTTCCATTCGACTTTCCATTCAGAATTTTTGATCGAATGGAAAACGCCTCAGGTTCATATCCATTTGCAGTGGTATTCCAGGGGTTCCAAATACTACTGGTGATCAAACCCTGCAGGACACAGACTACAGACTGTGCACTGTACCCCAGGTGACCCCTATATAAACAGGGCAGGTGTGCTCGGCGGAACTTTTGAAAAGACTCCTACCAAGATCACTTTTTCTGGGCGTGGCTCAAAATATTTTTAACTCCTAAGAGGTACCAATTTTTAAACAAGACATTATCTCCGGTCAAATTTTTTTTTGGCTCAATGCCCTGTAAGGTACTCCAAAAGCTCCCATTGTGGACCTTTTGCAGCTGAATGCTCCAAGACGTACCAAAACTGTGTTTTTTAAAACCCCTAAAAGGTACGACCACCCCCGTCATTTCCGTATGGGGTCCTCCCACGGGGCACTGTACATGCATCTGTTCACTAAAACTGACACCTTTAAAGTTATGTCTAGTATGCTCCTTGACTTAAAAATTGGATGTTACCATTCCAATTTGCACGCACATGTAAGTGAGACTGTTATTTCCTCAGGTATCCACACTGGAGCAGTATGCCATGAGAGCATTCAGTGACGCCTTGGAAGCTATACCTTTGGCTCTGGCTGAGAATTCAGGATTGAATCCCATTCAAACTGTAGCTGATATTAAATCCAGACAAGTCGCTGAAGGCAATCCTAGACTCGGTGTCGACTGCATGGATACTGGAATTAATGGTATGTTGGCCTGATTCAGTTTGTTTGTTTACTTGAATCACAGTCAGATGCCTTTTGTTTAAAGTCTCCTTTGCAGACACCAGGGAGCTTCAACAAACCACAACGACGAAGTTTGCGCGAACGTCGCCAAACAATTGGTTTAATGTTCTGCACGTGCGTTTTGAATCTTTTCACCATTTTTTTCCCTTTTTTTTGGGGNGGTCCTGTACAAAACAGCAACATCAAATGACTAAGTTCTGTGTATTGTGGGGAACGCGAAAAACAGCGGCTAATGTTTTGTATTTCCATTTGGATTTCAACACTGGTATTACATATTTAGCTTAAGCAAGTTCTGAGACCAATAGGCGCACTGAGCAGATCTAGACAATTGCGAAATTCAAAGATAAAATATAAATTCATTTTTTTACAAGGCGTTGTCTTCGGGGTCGCTGTCGTCGTTGCTTAAGGGCCCATTAACCGATCTTTTCGAGCCGTTGCTAAGGAAAATTTATTCTCATATAACCTCATCATTTTTAGTTAATTAAGAGTTATTTCATGTGTTTTAACTTTTTCATGATCAGCAACACTAGTGATGACGTCATCAGGCCACGCCCATGGTCATGTGAGTAATACTGAAAAAACGCAAAGGCTCCCAGGCAGATTACTTCATCGGGATTTTTTTCATTGATTTAATATTTTAATTTAAATCATCATTACGCTATGCATAGATTTTGTTTCATTTTTAAAAGGTCAGATTTTGAGAGAATTTCAAAATATTAAAAAATTCGTAATTTTCCGAAAAAAGCATAATTTTGAGAAAAGAATGCATAGCTATCTTTCCAACGTTGGCTTTAATCGAAATCCGTCGAAAAAGGCTGGATTTAATTAAAAGCCGCGTTTCCTTTAGCATTTAAAGAAACCGGAAGTGTGCCCGATATATATTGGAAAAATTCCTATCAGCGCGTGCGCAATTTACACTACTGGCTTCGGTAAGATCAAACAAAGCCATGAGGAGTTAGTTTTTCTCTTTCTGTTGCTGTTGTTTTTCTGTCTTTTTCTTATTTTGTCTTTGTTCGTACTTTTTTTACTTTGCATTTTGTAAAACACAAGGAAAAACATCTAAAATGTAAGCGAATTTGGAAGTTATTGAGTTGTTTTTATTTTCCGCGCTCAGGCTGACGTAAGTAACCGGAAGTGAAATTTCACCTCCTGAGCAACGCGCGCGAGCGCGCCCATAAATCGGTTAATGAGCCCTTAAGCTCTCTAATCCCAAAAAAACACTCAGACTGCAGGTTGAATGGAATCACCTCCCTTGAGTGCTTGACAATGTATTGATATTGCTTTAACCTTGAATTATATATCTGATTGAGGTGTCCTTGGTTGCTTTGCAGATATGAAAGAACAACACGTGATCGAAACGTTAATCGGCAAGAAGCAGCAGATAAGCCTGGCCACTCAGCTCGTCAAGATGATTCTTAAAATTGACGACATCAGGACGCAAGGAGAAGCGTGACATCTCTTCGACTTTAAGTGACATGCCTATCTTGTGTGACACAGCTGAGTCACGCATGATTGGTGTGACCCGTCGACTCTGTTAATTTACTACAAAAGAGCTTTGCTTGCATCAATATTTCGTGGAGTCGAAGTTTAAACAGTCGTTCACAGAGTTGCCCCAAAGACATCGTTCTCTCACTCGTTGTCTGAGATGGAAAGAGAAAAGAACCATGCAGAGCAAATTGTACAGCGATGGAGAATAAAATAAAAATGAAGAAGCATAGTTAGATGTTTTTGGGGCAATGTTTTGTGTTAACTACACATGTACATTAGGAGACACCGGGGAGCTAGGTTGGATTTGTCAATCGGTCGAACAATTAATAATCATTATCATTCGATGCGTTTTCCTCTTCCTTTTCATTGGCCGAGAGCCCACCACGCGACCTGTAAATATCTGCCGATAAACAATGGTCTGCTCATGCGTAATACCGTTGAAATGTGTTTTTGCTGTAAATGATATTCTACTCGTGCGTAGTTGTAAGCACGCTCTTTTGTGAAAAATGGCAGATCGCATCCCTGAGCTGTCAGAGAACGATTAAGCTTCGCTGTAGCTTCTTGAGTGTCCCTCAAACTTTCTGAGAGCATCATTAATTCGATGATACTCAAGTAATGCATCCGGCAATTCGAAACTTCAACAAACCTCCCACCCCCGAGCATTGAACATTTTGAATTTTCAGTTGTTCAAATTCCCATCTACCGGGCCCAAAACGGTTTTCAAATACCTCACCTTAGGGTCAACTCGTGCTAGGCGATCAAATGCCACTACCGCTGGGACATACATGGCAAATATTATTACTAGTAAAGAAAACAACTACAAAAAAATCACTCAGGAACACCCGCTTTCAAGAACTTCCCCTGTGTCCGAAGCATTGCTTACTTATTAGTAAGATATGACGGGGATTAATTTTCACAACCAAACTGTTTGTATGGGTTATTGACCAAGTGTGAGGTCAAGATGGCTGGATATTGACTAAGTTCTTTTTTTTGCGTGTTTATGGACCGAGACGGAGTCGAGGTCCATAAACTCGCAAAAAAAGAACGAGGCCAATATCCAGCCATCTTGACCGAACA